ATCTCTTCGTGGACTTTCGTGCGGGCAAGCTGTGGTACAAGCGTCGAGAGAGGAAAGGTGCTTCATAAGCATAAGTAGATAACAACGACAAGAGGGTTGAATTGGTGGAGCACCTGCATGAGCGGCGTTAAATCCACACCTGCCAAAGGCATATCGGCGAACGCTTCGGCATGAGGTATATGAGACCCGCCCACCAAGTTGGCGATTCGTTGGGTATATGGCGCATTGGTCAACATCGCTCGGCCCAGCTTTGTGATGCTGGACGCAGTTTCGGCAGCGCGCGCAGGCGTAATGGCTGCCTGCCGTGAACGAGTGTGTGTCGGTGTTGCTGTCACCGCTGTCAGCAGATTTACACAGAAGAGGCTGGGCAGTACCTGAAGGACCCATAATTGCGGTGGCACGCTCTCCATCTGGCCTAGGGGATGTGTCAGTGAATGAAACATTGCCATCGCCCTGGCGGGTAGAATCTGTTTACGCACAGGTGAGAAACAACTATCACAACTTCTTGAAGATGGCGGGATACCTTCTGACGGGCGCTTGGCGTTGCTCATCTCGACCAACTTGTACGATTTTTTGATCTGTACGATTCGTTTTCCCGCCACGGGGGCAAGTGTGGCTCTCGAAATTTCAAGTGCGCCTGCTTGTTTGTTTGTAGCCCCTGGTTGCTTGTCCGAATCGAGAGCCCTCCCCTGCCACGGGCTCGACCGGCGAATTTGTGTTGTGAAGAACCTCCCTCGTGTGTGCAATGAGGGAGGGGGGGTAGACTCCATGACAGAGTCCGAGAAACTAGAAATTGTACGGAGAAAACTCCCCACCCCCCACGAAGGAGGTGGGGAGAACCGTGGCGTCCTGTGGCGGGACTCGAACCGAGAAAGGGAGGACCGTCAACCTGGAGCGAACCAGGTTGACCACCCCGGTCCCCCCAAGTGCGCCTGCTTCCTCGAACGTGCCTCGCATTCTTGCGGTTATGCCGCAGCGCGAAAAGAAAAATGCATCAAGAAGACAACAAGATCGCTGAGCTAAGTGCCCAGCTGCAGCGAGTGCTCGGCCTGCACGAGCAGCGCGTGCTGGCCTACAAACGATGGGAGAAGTACGTACCGATTCGTTTCATTTACTCCACACGATTGATGCGGACCGATGCGGGGCCTATTCGCTATGTAGGGCCTTCAGGGAGTATGTGGCACTGGAGGACCAGGCCGAGGGCTGGGAAGACTATCAAGATGCCATCAAGGAGGCGGTATGAATCACCTACAAGGCACTACATCCATCTCATCTTCGCCCTAGACAGGTGAGTTCGTGAAAATCTCAACGGCCGTGCGGGAGGTCGAGGCCCAGCTGGCGCTGTCCAGGCCAGACCTGGCGGCCATGGTGCGCAGCCTGCAGGAACTGGAGAAGCAAAAGCTTCAGCTCGTACGCTGCCTCTCTTCATCCTCTTCTTGGCCGCAGCCGCAAGACGGTCTGCTCACGCGTTGGGGCAGACGGCCAAGGTGCAGGCAGGCAAGGAGAAGGCAGTGGTGACAGAACGCGTCGATGAAGAGGTCGACTGGGTGTGGGAGCGAGAGGAGAAGGGCATGCGAAACCAGCTGAACGGCCTCGTCGAGGAGATCAACCTCGTCGTCGACTCCTTGCGCGTCGAACTGCAGGATCTCGCTCCGCCCAGCGCTGAAGAAGCCAACGAATAAAGAAATTCATGGGCGAAGCAGAGGTCTGTATGCTTGATCTTCTTCTTCTTCTTCTTCTTCTACAGAAAGAATGATCTTCTTCTTCTTGTACGGGCAGAAAGGAGTGTGGTCGATGTCCTTCAGCTGTACTTGAACTCGACCACGACGAGGTACTTGATCAACAGCTGCGCGACGTCGTACACGATGAACTCGTTGTAGAGCAGACTCGTGTTCGACGTGCCCGTCGGCACCGGCTTGCCCAGCGGCACCACCGTTCCATCCGCCCTGCGTCAACCACCAACCAACCACCCAACCGCAGCAACGTGTAAGTGACATCATCTCCATCGTCATACCATCATCATCATCATCATGAGGGGCGCATGGTGGAATGTACATGGTGACGTTCTCGGCGGGGTCAGGTCCGGTGGCGCCGCAGCCCTTGGTGGAGTCGAAGCCGGGCTTGTTGGCGTTCATGAACTCGGCCTGCGTGCAGTCGTACGTCTTGCCCAGGGCCACGCGCGAGAGCAGCATCACGCCCACCGGGTTCTCGCGGCTCGCGTGACAGTAGTTGGCGCTCTTCGTCACCAAGTCCGCAAAATAGACTGCGTACACCATCCACACAGCAACAAATATAGCGTATCATCATCATCATCATCATCATCATCATCATCATCATCATCATCATCATCATCACCTTCTTCTTCTTCTTGAATGAAGCTGTGATGAGGTGCGCACCTCCTTTTCCGAACATGTAACCGGTCGAGGGGGCTTCAGGCGGCGCAATACGAAGACCCTAAGGGGGAAAGAAGCGATTTGGTTGATTGGCTCGCGGCTACGTGCGGTTAGGGTTGTTTCGGCCGAAAGAGAGCGTACCTGCGAGAGGATGCCCATCCAGTTCGTGAGCCGCGAGCCGTGCCACAGCAGCTGCTGGTTGCCCAGCGCCGCGTAGGGCTTGAACCGCTCCTCCTCGCCCGGTCGCTCCACCGCGTACAGCTCCTGCGACGCGAAGAACGAAGAACGAAGAAGAGCCCCCCCCCCTCGTCAGTGAATGAAGCCAAAAGCGAAGGCGGAGAAAGGGCAAACCTTGAGGCGGAGCTTGTAGCTGGTGTGCGTGGGCGCGTGGGTGTTCTTGACGTACTGGGCGACGATGCTCCAGTCCCGGCTGTTACGGTCGACGGGCTCGAGGGTGGTGTTGAGGGCCTTGTAGGAGGAGTCGATCGGGTGCTCGCCCGACG